ATATATATTCTTCAATGTTTTCGTTTGCTGTTATGTTTCGTTGATACGAATATGAGCACTAACTTACACACTTGCATTTGCCTCTCATCACAGGGCTATAAAGGCTATGGCTAATCGCTTGCGCGTTGACAACGGTGTCATCGATAAGATTAACGACGATTCCGAAAAGACCGACTTCTATTTCTTTGAGGTATGAGTGTAGTGACTTGTATCGATTTTTTTTCGCAAAGTATGTCAGGAAAGGAATGTGTGGATATCTCAGTCAGTCCCATCACCCAGTTGCCACCTGAATCGCTGGGTATTCGTATCGCAAATCCACAATTGAGGTCTGAGATTGGTCGACTTCGTACTGTAATTTGTGTGTGGAGATATGTCCATGCGTTGTAATGAAATTGCACTTCTGTCAACTTATCGCATTGTTCTTAATATGGAACTTCACTTCAGCTGCACGATGTTGATAAGAATGACAAACTGGACGGGATCGAGTTGACCAACCTTTTTAGAAATTTAGACCAGGTATGGACTCTGTATGCAGTATGCGATTAGTACATATACATTTTTATATATGGCAATACGAGAATTTATAATGTAGCCTCAAAAAAGAACCCCTTGCTCTATTTATACCCGGCATCAGATGTATAAAGTTTCGAAAGAATGTAAGCTGACTTTTGTTGTCTCCCACAAAGTCATTCTGTTGCCAGCATGCCACGGGCAATCTGTGAGACTGTAACTGATCAGGCATGCTACGTAGTTTACTATGAAGGGCGCAAGTTTTTGATACGTCAACCAGGATATATAAGCGCGAGCAACATGTCCGTTCATTGGTTGTCACATGGATATGGGGTGCGTCTAATCTGTGCGCGCTGAACAGGGTACTGTTTGAAAGGATAAAGATGGTTGAATACTATAGTTTATATCTCAGGATCAGTTCATACGACTTAGTTTGGCCAGATCTTCTTAGCTCGACTTTGGTTTCTAAAGGCATTCATGTAACTTTGTGGTTCTTTGTAGGACATGGTACATGCCCGTGTGTGTTGGTGGTTAGAATCTGTGGAGATAAAGGTGATTGTCTAGAAGTGTTTAATCCTCGGCTCTGACCAAATTGTGTTAATTCATCTTTACTGTACGCAGAGCGCCGATTTGGCCGCCTTGATTTCCCGAGTAGACGACAGCTTGAGAGAAGACGATGTCGACAACGATGGGTAAGTTGTTAAATGCTGTAATTGTTCATCGGAGAATGTTATATGTGATGTTTGCTAGCGCCAATGATGGGTCGTTAATATCTTGATTGCTCGTTGCAGAATCTTATTGAATAGGTGCTGCTCGGTAGCGAATGATGAGTTAGTAATTAAATGTCGTGATTTTCCATCGGAGAATGTTATAGGTGTTGTTTACTAGCGACAATGATGGGTCTTTAATATCGTGATTGTAAGTAGTAGAATCTTATTGAATAGGTGCTGTTTGATAGCGAATGATGAGTTGGTATGTAAATATCAAGTTCTTTTATCGTATTATTGAATAGGTGGTGGTTGGTAGCGTCAGCGAAGGGTTAGAAATTGGACATCTTGGCTGTCAGTCTTATTATTCCTGAATAGGTGTTAGGTATCGACAATTATCGGTTGTTAATTGAATATCGTGATTGTACATCGTAGTGTGTTGTTGAAGAGGTGCAGTTTGGAGATATTGTGCATCCACAATGTCGACTTTGATTTTATCTCCGGGAGAAGGTGGGGATACTGCAAGATTATACTCCACTCAAAGAGACGTAGATATATTGAAAACTTCTTTCCTTCATTTCATCGTAGGTATGTGGACTGGGCTGAATTTGAATCAAATCTACGGAAGCAGGATGAAGCTAGTTAAATTAACAGAGAATAAAATATAAGGACATAGAAGCCAAACCACTTAAACCAGAACTTTTATGTATATCGATTGCGGATATTCACAATGGGAAACGATGGTACGAGAAGTCGATGTTCTATCACTTAGTCGCTTTGGAATTTGAGGCAGACTAACTACTCTAAATCATTACTTCGTTTACCATTTGTCGGGATAGTAACGAGACGCCTCGAGAGGAGTATCATCACATAATACCTTCAATAGTAGTCAATAGTGTGAATTGCCTGAGAGATGTGCATCAATACTCATAGCCTTCTCAATACTAAATCGACATTAGAAGGCTAAGCATTACTCTAGTATGCATATAATACGAAAGAGCAATACGCAAAGGAACCTTTTTTGTTTTGTTTTGAATTTTACTATTTGTTTTTCTATACAAAAACCCGAAAACGCAAAAAATCAAAAATATCAAACACTGTAAAGCACTTGTGCTGAAGTTGTTGGAGATCTCTGTATGATTTTTTAAAATTCTTAAATAGTGCAGTGCATACCCAATTGCAAAACGAGTACCAACACCCTACACCCAATGATTCGCATCATATATATTTATGTATGTTTGCAAACATACTTTACATGTACATAAGTACATACAGTGCATATCCACACTTACACACATACATTACACATTCATTCTTACACGTAGAATAACATCAACTAGGAGCTATGTCACGATTCGGAATGCTCATACAGGCACGGCCTGTGATGTCACTGGTGTTCGGTGGTGGTAGCAGAGCGCCACACCTGTGGCCTGCGAATATGCGCATACGTGCAGCTATGGGCAGTTTCTTAGCGATAAACAAAAATTCTCCAGAGAAACATTACAGCACTTCAGGCGACGAGAAAAAAGGCGACAGTAAGAGATTCAAGATATATACTCGAACTGGAGATAAAGGTAGGTGTAGTTCATACATACATACATACATACATATATACATAGAAACATACATAGATACATGCAACGATACATACAACGATACATACATAGATAAATATATACATACACACATACATACATACATACATACATGCATACATACGTACATACAGACATACATACATACATACATAGATACATACATCAATACATACGTAGATATATATATAGATACATACATAGATACATAGATACATACATACATACATACACGCATACATAAACATACATACATACATACATACATACATACATACATACATACATACATACACACATACATACATACATACATACATACATGTATACATACGTACATACATAGATACATAGATACATAGATACATAGATACATAGATACATACATGCAGGCATACATA